AGATATGTTAGTTTTTTCCCATCATTTCAATTAAATTTTTACTATTTCTAGTTCTCATATTCAACCATGCATTCTTAATCTCATCTGGAAGTTTGTCCTCCCAGAATGGAAAATCCAACTCTAGATGTTGCTACTTAACCTAATAACACGATTTGTTCTATCTTGCCTAGAAGCCACAAAACTGCAAATAGTAATAAAAATGGAACCTGGAATAGAAGTGCCCATCTTCGTAGGCCCTCTCAACTGACAACTGATGGAGACCTAACTGCACCCTTTACTGGGCCCCTTCTCAGCATGAAGCAGCCAGAGTGGTCATCACCCCCTTTCCCTAGCAGTAGCTAGGGTCTCTATCTGTAGAGGGGGGAATGAGACAGGGACGATGGGCTTAGACAGAGTAGGGTGAGAGCCTCCAGAAAAAGCAAGGCAAGATATTTTACAGTCAAGGTAATGTAACAATGTAAAGTCCCTATCGAAACTCTGTTTAGTATTATGCAAAGTCAAGGTCACACTAATTCTCTAGGGTAAAGATACCAGACTAGGAATATAGACACCTTCACCTTCAGTGAGATCAGTTAAAGGTTGCCTGCTGCACTTTTTCTCTTTAAGTAACTTTAAACTTTACTCTACTTCAGTACTGTGTCTCTGCCTTTCAATTCTTTGTTGCGGCGGGGACAAGGACCAAGGAAAATACACAACGCTCCCTCAACAGAAAGAAAATAAGGCCAGGAAAAACGCCCACTAAAAAAGACCCAGAGTTAATCAGTTAAAGCTAAAAAAAGTCAGGAATAACTTGGCCTGGAATGTTTGAATATTCCCCAGATAAAGGAAGGTACCTCAACATAGCTCATGTCTTTATTGTCTTAATCAGGCAGGCAGAGCCATAAACAATATAGTAAAAGGCAGGAAGGATTACATCTTAAAAATAAGATTGCATTTTAATACCCAGGAAGTTAAGAAGATGCTTAACTTACTCCAGCAAACAGACAATAACTCAGCCCACCTTGGGGGATGGGCAGGCGGTCTTGTTTTGATGTGCTCCCAGACCTAGACGCCAGAAATCAGAGCAGGAAGTTCCTTGTGTTAAGTTAATTCTAAATATTCAGAGACCACTTGTAAACCCAGGGAGAGGAAATCCCAGGGCAAAATACCTATAAAACCGAAATTAGTCGAAGAGGGAAATAAAGTTTAAAATCCGTTAATCACTTACAAACTGCAGTTGGAGGCTGTTTCTCTTTCCTGCTCCAGCAGAAGCAAAACCAGCCCTCCCCTACACCTCTCAGGTACAGATAAGCCCTCTGATGCTCAGGTGATTATCCATTGATATGGAGATGAACTTTTCTCCACCCCTGAGGAATGATGCAAATGCACCAAAGCCATACTTCTCTCCACCCTTGAGCGCCTGTTGATATGCAGATGTACTAAAGCCAGGCGAGGTATTCTGGAAATACTACAATTTTACCTACACCAACTTAATAAGTCTGCGCCCCCAGCCCTTAGTCACATTCCTGAAGAATCCTTAAAAGGGGGAACCCCCAACCTTTCTGTGAGCTCCTCTTTCTGAGGTCGCCCGCACTTTCTAAGTCGTAACCTTTTAACTTTAAACTTTCTCCAACCCTTCAGGGCGCCTCTCCCCAGTGAGGTTGCCTGCTGCACTTTTTCTCTGTTTAAATAACTTTAAATAAAACTTTTATTTTGCTTCACTACTGTGTCTCTGCCCTTCGATTCTTTGTTGCGGCGGGGACAAGGACGGAGGAAAAGGCACAACGCTCCCCTAACAAAACCCTGTAAGACAGTGGTTTACTGTTTACGTGTGTTTTTTCTACAACATTTACAAAGTCAGCAGAGAACATCCTTTTCACTTCATGTCAACCTGAGTCACAAGCTCAGAGGTTTTCCTTGCGGCAGACTCCAGATATGCGGCCGGCTTTACCGCGCATGCCAGCGCCGGGACAGTGGGCGGACAGGCCCCCTCCCCACCCCCTGCGCCCAGGCCTCATCAGGGACTACGACACCCAGCAGCCCCTGCGGCAGAGCTTGGCCACCATGCGCCTGCGCTGCGGCGGACACCTGCGCCGCGCGGCTCCCGCCAATTCTCACCTCTCTGGCTAAGGGTGGTTGTGGGCCCCATGGAGACGTTTGACCCAGCCGAGCTGCCTGAGCTGCTTAAACTTTATTACCGGAGGCTCTTCCCCTACGCGCAGTACTACCGCTGGCTCAACTACGGCGGAGGTGACGGGAGCGAAGGGCGGGGAGCGGGGTGCCGCGGTGCCCCCCTACAGCCATGTGAGGCCTTCCGCCTCTGAGGTGAAGTGCTCCGCCAATGGCCACACGGACGCCGGCGGAGCCGCTTCACCCCGCCTTGCGTGGGGGGACCTCGCGCCCCTCTTGCCTGCCGCGGTGCCTGAGGCGGGGGCCGGGCGGTTCCGGGGCACCGGGCGGAGGCGCCCTGCGCTAGGGACTGAGGGCCGCCCGCGGGAGGGGAGGCGCTAGACCCTTCGCAGCCGGATTCATTAGTGCTGCTGAGAAAAAGGTGGCATTATAGGTTTAAAATATTTCTGCATCTTTTCCCTCATTTCTACTTTTCTTTATCAGGTGCGGGATGGTAAGTCCTTTCAAATTAGGGACTGGGGCTTGCCTTTTTTTTCATCTATCACAGTGTTGGGCTCATAAAAATATCCTCAGTTCATAAAGTTATAGTGTCCTGAGCTGAATAAAGTGCCAAATTCATTTTACAATGTACATTTATTTTGCAGTGGTGAAGAATTACTTTCAACACCGTGAGTTCTCCTTCACATTGAAGGATGACATTTACATTCGCTACCAGTCCTTCAGCAACCAGATTGATCTGGAAAAGGAGATGCAGAAAATGAATCCGTACAAGATTGATATTGGTGCAGTATATTCCCACAGAGTAAGACGGTGGCTTGTGTGCTTTGTGTGTTTAAACCAAGAGTGGACTGGTTACGCCAGCAGTTTCAGATAAAATTTTTAGTTTATTCTAGTTGAAGAGCCACACTTACTGAATTGTCTTGCATTTAAATGTAATGTTTTGTTCTTTGGTGCTCTACATTATTGACTGGAAATCATGAGGAAGTGAATCGGTTGTATTCTCACCAGGACAAGAAAACAGTATTTGGCTAAAAGACTAAATGAGGGAGTCAGCATGGGTAAAGAGAGTCAACTGAAGGAAAATTTGGAATTGCTCTTTATTTCTCTCTCACGCCCCTTTATCCATTATAGTAGGAAATCTCTAGCTCTACAGCAGCGATTCCTAAAATCCGACTACTGCTACTAGTGCTTCTACCGTCCTCTTCTCCATCGGAATTACTGTAAACTTTCCAGCAGGTTGCTCCTGAAGACTCTATTATAGAGTCCACTCTCAATACAACAGTAAGAGTAATTCTTTTAAAGCAAGTCAAACTCTGCACTGCTCAGAACCGTTCTCCAGTGGCTCCGCTTTCATACTAATTCTCTAGGGTAAAGATACCAGACTAGGAATATAGACACCTTCACCTTCAGTGAGATCAGTTAAAGGTTGCCTGCTGCACTTTTTCTCTTTAAGTAACTTTAAACTTTACTCTACTTCAGTACTGTGTCTCTGCCTTTCAATTCTTTGTTGCGGCGGGGACAAGGACCAAGGAAAATACACAACGCTCCCTCAACAGAAAGAAAATAAGGCCAGGAAAAACGCCCACTAAAAAAGACCCAGAGTTAATCAGTTAAAGCTAAAAAAAGTCAGGAATAACTTGGCCTGGAATGTTTGAATATTCCCCAGATAAAGGAAGGTACCTCAACATAGCTCATGTCTTTATTGTCTTAATCAGGCAGGCAGAGCCATAAACAATATAGTAAAAGGCAGGAAGGATTACATCTTAAAAATAAGATTGCATTTTAATACCCAGGAAGTTAAGAAGATGCTTAACTTACTCTAGCAAACAGACAATAACTCAGCCCACCTTGGGGGATGGGCAGGCGGTCTTGTTTTGATGTGCTCCCAGACCTAGACGCCAGAAATCAGAGCAGGAAGTTCCTTGTGTTAAGTTAATTCTAAATATTCAGAGACCACTTGTAAACCCAGGGAGAGGAAATCCCAGGGCAAAATACCTATAAAACCGAAATTAGTCGAAGAGGGAAATAAAGTTTAAAATCCGTTAATCACTTACAAACTGCAGTTGGAGGCTGTTTCTCTTTCCTGCTCCAGCAGAAGCAAAACCAGCCCTCCCCTACACCTCTCAGGTACAGATAAGCCCTCTGATGCTCAGGTGATTATCCATTGATATGGAGATGAACTTTTCTCCACCCCTGAGGAATGATGCAAATGCACCAAAGCCATACTTCTCTCCACCCTTGAGCGCCTGTTGATATGCAGATGTACTAAAGCCAGGCGAGGTATTCTGGAAATACTACAATTTTACCTACACCAACTTAATAAGTCTGCGCCCCCAGCCCTTAGTCACATTCCTGAAGAATCCTTAAAAGGGGGAACCCCCAACCTTTCTGTGAGCTCCTCTTTCTGAGGTCGCCCGCACTTTCTAAGTCGTAACCTTTTAACTTTAAACTTTCTCCAACCCTTCAGGGCGCCTCTCCCCAGTGAGGTTGCCTGCTGCACTTTTTCTCTGTTTAAATAACTTTAAATAAAACTTTTATTTTGCTTCACTACTGTGTCTCTGCCCTTCGATTCTTTGTTGCGGCGGGGACAAGGACGGAGGAAAAGGCACAACGCTCCCCTAACAAAACCCTGTAAGACAGTGGTTTACTGTTTACGTGTGTTTTTTCTACAACATTTACAAAGTCAGCAGAGAACATCCTTTTCACTTCATGTCAACCTGAGTCACAAGCTCAGAGGTTTTCCTTGCGGCAGACTCCAGATATGCGGCCGGCTTTACCGCGCATGCCAGCGCCGGGACAGTGGGCGGACAGGCCCCCTCCCCACCCCCTGCGCCCAGGCCTCATCAGGGACTACGACACCCAGCAGCCCCTGCGGCAGAGCTTGGCCACCATGCGCCTGCGCTGCGGCGGACACCTGCGCCGCGCGGCTCCCGCCAATTCTCACCTCTCTGGCTAAGGGTGGTTGTGGGCCCCATGGAGACGTTTGACCCAGCCGAGCTGCCTGAGCTGCTTAAACTTTATTACCGGAGGCTCTTCCCCTACGCGCAGTACTACCGCTGGCTCAACTACGGCGGAGGTGACGGGAGCGAAGGGCGGGGAGCGGGGTGCCGCGGTGCCCCCCTACAGCCATGTGAGGCCTTCCGCCTCTGAGGTGAAGTGCTCCGCCAATGGCCACACGGACGCCGGCGGAGCCGCTTCACCCCGCCTTGCGTGGGGGGACCTCGCGCCCCTCTTGCCTGCCGCGGTGCCTGAGGCGGGGGCCGGGCGGTTCCGGGGCACCGGGCGGAGGCGCCCTGCGCTAGGGACTGAGGGCCGCCCGCGGGAGGGGAGGCGCTAGACCCTTCGCAGCCGGATTCATTAGTGCTGCTGAGAAAAAGGTGGCATTATAGGTTTAAAATATTTCTGCATCTTTTCCCTCATTTCTACTTTTCTTTATCAGGTGCGGGATGGTAAGTCCTTTCAAATTAGGGACTGGGGCTTGCCTTTTTTTTCATCTATCACAGTGTTGGGCTCATAAAAATATCCTCAGTTCATAAAGTTATAGTGTCCTGAGCTGAATAAAGTGCCAAATTCATTTTACAATGTACATTTATTTTGCAGTGGTGAAGAATTACTTTCAACACCGTGAGTTCTCCTTCACATTGAAGGATGACATTTACATTCGCTACCAGTCCTTCAGCAACCAGATTGATCTGGAAAAGGAGATGCAGAAAATGAATCCGTACAAGATTGATATTGGTGCAGTATATTCCCACAGAGTAAGACGGTGGCTTGTGTGCTTTGTGTGTTTAAACCAAGAGTGGACTGGTTACGCCAGCAGTTTCAGATAAAATTTTTAGTTTATTCTAGTTGAAGAGCCACACTTACTGAATTGTCTTGCATTTAAATGTAATGTTTTGTTCTTTGGTGCTCTACATTATTGACTGGAAATCATGAGGAAGTGAATCGGTTGTATTCTCACCAGGACAAGAAAACAGTATTTGGCTAAAAGACTAAATGAGGGAGTCAGCATGGGTAAAGAGAGTCAACTGAAGGAAAATTTGGAATTGCTCTTTATTTCTCTCTCACGCCCCTTTATCCATTATAGTAGGAAATCTCTAGCTCTACAGCAGCGATTCCTAAAATCCGACTACTGCTACTAGTGCTTCTACCGTCCTCTTCTCCATCGGAATTACTGTAAACTTTCCAGCAGGTTGCTCCTGAAGACTCTATTATAGAGTCCACTCTCAATACAACAGTAAGAGTAATTCTTTTAAAGCAAGTCAAACTCTGCACTGCTCAGAACCGTTCTCCAGTGGCTCCGCTTTCACCCAGAGTAAAACCCCCTTTCTTCCCCATCCACTCACTCCACTCCTGCCACACTGGCTCTTATCAAGCAGTTTCCACTGCCCAGAACCTATTTCCCCAAATACATTGGGTTCGTTCCCTCATCTTTTAAGTCCTCAGTCAGTGAGGCCTACTGCAACCTGCTGCGCCAGTCCCCACTCCTTCCCTCACCACAGATGAATTCCAAGTGCCTAGAGTAATGCCTGGCTGAGTCCACCCTGAGTGTTTGTTGAACGAACAGACCAAAATTGCCTTTCTTCCTTTGTTTAAATATGTATGGATGGTGGGGTGTGGAAATACACATCTGGGATAATAGCTTTTGTATGGACCTTTTATATACATTATGTAACTTGTTTTTCAAGTCTCCATTTCACAAAGGAGAAAACAGGCAGAGAGAACTTTAGGGAAGAAGCAGTGAGGAAAGGCAGGCAAGAAAACTGCTTTAGGGCAGTTTACTCCTCTTTAAAGACAGATGAAAATTGAAGTCCCTGTAGAAGGACCAGGGTGTACTCTTCTAATACTGAAAAGGGGGGAAATTCTCTTTTTTTAATTGGATCAAGACTGAGGGATCTATGGACTTTTTGTGTTTTCTTCTCAGTTACATATGCACAGCTTATAAAATTAAGTATTTAGGCTTTTTAAAGGTCTACTACTACTCCCCATTGTTCCCCAGAGGTGACCTTTTTTTTTAAAGCTGATTCTTAAGGTATTTGTCTCCTTTTCTCTAAATAACGTGCTTATATTTCTTCCACTTTTTCCATTTTAAGCATTATCTACTGACTTACCACACTGGCAGATGAGGATTTTGCTTTTTTTAACCTCATCCACTACCTCACCTCACATACAACCTGCCTATTCCCACATGCTCCTAATATGTTTGTTAGACTAAAAATTAGGGTTAAAGAAAATTAAGGTTAGGTCACTAATTCAACCCTAAACTCTGCCAGTTTTCAATAATTCAGCCTCATCAGTTTGTCAGTTTCATCCTGAAGAAATTTCTCCTTTGGCCTTCTGATCTCCAAACTGGATTAATTGCTCTCTAAGCCTGATGGATAAACATGATCTTATAATCACTCTGGTTACCTTTCACGTCTCTCCAGTGTCGGATTCCCCCTTACCCAACTCTTATGTTTTCTTTTTGGTTTGCTCCCTTTTGGTCGAGCACATTCTCCAGGAGCTTCCTGAGAAAAGGTGCATGTTTTGACAGCTCCTGTGTCTGGAAAACGTCTTCATTCTCCTTTTGTGCTTTACCAGTCTGTAAATCATTTTCCCTTAAAATTCTGAGACATTGCTATGTTACATTCTCATTTCCATTATTGCTCTTTAGAAAATTAATGCAGTTCTAATTATTGTTCCACTGTGTTGGACCTGGAAGCTCTTAGGATTTTTTATCTATCTCCTCTGTCCCTAATGTTCTGAAATTTCACAGTGATATGCCTTGGTGTGCATCTTTATTCATCTAGTGTGCTAAATACTTGATGGGCCCTTATGACCATAAAGTTGTATCCTTTAATTCTGGGAAATTTTCCCATTTGTTTTTAACATAATCTTTCCAACTTGTAATTTTTCTCTGATCCCTAGAAATCATGAAGTCAGATACTACACATCTTGGACTAGTCATCTTTTTTTTTTTTTTTTGGTATCATCAATCTACAATTACATGAGGAACATTATGTTTACTAGACTCCCCCCATCACCAAGTACCCCCCACATACCCCACTACAGTCACTGCTGGACTGGTCATCTTAATTCATTTTTTCTTTTTCTTCATACTTTCTGTTTCTTTGTCCTATACTTTCTGGGGAATTTCCTCAAGAGGTTTTAATTTCTGCTATTATAATTTCCAAGAATTTTTTGAAGAGCATCCTATACTTTTTTCATTGATATGTTTTATATTTCTGAGGATACCAGTGATAGTTTTTAAAGTTTTCTTCTATTGCACAGGCTGTTTTTTTAAGTTCCTTTTTTTTCCTGTTTGCTCCCCTCTTTCATTTTATAGACTTTCCTCACATGTCTGGTAATTTCTTGCTTGTTGCTTATACTTAAGAATAGAGAACTAAAAAGCTGATTGGAAGCTCTGAACACGTGTCTGAAATTTCCTTACTACAGGGTAATCTGGCTGGCCCATTTTATTGGGGGAGAAGCTCTAATGTCAGTTTCTCTAGATCTTTGCTAGAATGAAAATTCCACTAGTGCAAAGATCTTTGATCACTGATCTATTCTTAGAGCCTGTAACAGTGCCTGACCCACCTGTTCAGAGTCTTCAGAGAGGAATCTTCCAGTCTCCTGCCCAGGGTGCCAGTGGATGGGTACATAAGAGGGGAGAGGGTCTCAACATTCTGCATGTAAATGTCTTATTAGTTCTAAAATTAGATCATCAATACAATACAGCCTTCTTCAGCTGTGCCTATTGTCCCCCAAGTCCCTCTGTTTTGTGCTCCAGGAAATAGTTCAGGTGTCTTCCAAAGAAATAGAAGCACAGTCACTTAGCTCTTCAGAGTAAGTGTAGGAATCTGGGAAATTGCTTCATAAATAGATTTTTAACCAATTCTCTTTTTATCATACACTGTCATTCTAGAGATACCTGTCATCACCCATTTCTGAGCCTTTTGGGGATTCCAAGGTGTAAATTGGGTTTCTTATCTTTCCTTATTGGGAGCTTAAGATTCAGCTTGTAACGGTCTCCTTATTAAAAAATGTGTAGTCTCTTCTCGGTTCTTTTTTAAAAGGTTTATGCTTTTCTTTAAAAAAAAACAAAACTTTTTACTATCATTTTGGTGCATATTTGGAGGGAGCTAAATAAGTATCTGTATTCAGTCTCTCTTTACTGATAGTCCACAGCCTCAAAGGCTTAGGTCAAACTAACTGGGGAGAGCTTTCTGAATTACTGAAAAATTTTAAATACATTTTCTTTACTTATGTGTCCAGTAACAATTACAGGTCCTTAAAATACCTTGTAATAGGGTATTATTTATCTGTATATACTTTTCCTTACCAGAAACCTAAAAAAGCTTTAATATGATTTCTGTTGATAAACAAATATTTATTACAGTTATATCTCAATTATTTCACTAGAACTGGAAAAAATATGGTGATATATATTTATCAGACCCTGTTTTAACTAAGTGAAAGTTACACTGTCATCAATTTTAGATGTATAGTTTCCAAATTAATGAACTTTAATTGATATAGACATGACATTGTGTGGCTTCACCTCTTTCTGGGCACTTTCCATTGTGGGTAGAAAATAAGCGTATCTGGCAGCTCTTAAAGCAACTGATTGATATTTGTACTTTTAGCCCAATCAACACAATACAGTGAAGCTGGGAGCTTTCCAGGCTCAGGAAAAAGAACTTGTGTTTGACATTGACATGACAGACTACGACGATGTGAGGAGATGTTGTAGGTAAAGACCACATGCCATGCTCAAAGGGTGGGTGATGCCACAGACAGTGAGTAATGATGACTCTGCTTCAGTTCTGCAGATATATGTTCTAAGTGCTGGACCCTCATGACAATGGCCATACGCATCATCGACCGAGCATTGAAGGGCAAGTATTGGCAGTGTCTGAGCAGAGTCAAATGCAAGAGTTGTTTTCCTATGAATATTTGTCTATACCATTTTATAAGCAAGTCTCACAAATTTCTAACGTTTACTTGAAAGCTATGATAGGAAAATAGATTAAAGTTGCAGTTGAAACTCTTGATGAAGCTACTGATCAAACCAGAGAGTTTTTTCCCAATTCAGTCGTCTATTGAGGAACCAGGTACTAGTTGTGTCCTAGATAAAGGAAATAAGACAATTCTTACCTCAAGCAGGTTACATAGTCTAAGAAAGAAATAAGAAAATTGAGGATTACATTTGTGTTAAGTAATATGCAGCAGGTGCTGTGGAGATACAGAACAGCAAGAGTACATACAGGAATGGAAAGGGATTGGATCAAAAAAGGATTCCTCCTAGAAGAGGTAATTATAAGGATAAACATTGTAAGAATAACTCTTACGCAGGGAGTTTGTGTGCCAGGCACTGTTCTAACACTTTAAATTTACTAGCTTTTTAATATACCTAAACAGGGTCTTTAAGGATAAATGGCAGTTGGTCAGGGAGAGAAACAGAATTGCTGGGATATAAAGAGATTCTCAACATAGAAACCAGGATAGGTAAAAACAAAGGCAAGAATGTGGGGGGCACAGTAAACTGCAAATAGTATAGTTAAGGTTATATCCATTTGAATAAGATTTAAAAAGGAAGGAAGTAAGCAGGAACCAGGAGTTTATAGATTTGTTTTAAAACCTATTATTTCTCCCCTTCTCAGAGGACTTTGGATTTAAGCATTGTCTCTGGGTATATTCTGGAAGGAGAGGTGTTCATTGTTGGGTGTGTGATGACTCAGTTAGAAGACTATCTTCTGCAGTGCGTTGTGGGATAGTTGAGTATTTAAGTCTTATAAAGGTAAGATCTTAGTGATAATTCACAGTTGTTTGTTTGCTAGATGTTACCAAGCCTGGTATGTTTACTACAAAATTAAACGATCTTTTATAGCATCCACATTCTGAAATAGGAGATCTTACCAGTAGATCATTTAAAATCATATAAGCTACATTTTTTAAGATATTTCATATCATGCTGTAAATATCCTCTTTTGTGACAAAAGGATGATTAGTTTATACTTTGCTGGTTCAGTTATGACAAAGTTGAGCCAGAAAGTGGCAGGTATTGAGACTATATAAAATAGCAACCAAGCTTCAAATTTTGACAGAATTTTATCAATACCTTGAGAACACATGGAAGAAATTTTTTAATTATTTGATTTATGTTATATAATATATACATGAAGTTCTTTTTCGGTGATTTATTTTTCAGGGTGGTCAAGATGTTAAAAAGAAAGTTCACCTAAGTGAAAAAATTCATCCATTTGTCAGGTCTGTTGGAAAAGACTCCATGCAGTTTTAAGTTATGTCTGCTTTTCCCACATATGCTTTTCAGATTACCTTGTTATCAATTTTCTATGCTGGTATAGCATTTTATAATAATAAAAGCTAAAGTTAATTGAGTGTTTATTTTATGTTGCAGTATTCATGATAGGTGGTTTCTAAATGTTCTTACCTGGTCTTCACAACAACCTCATGTGGGTCATGATGCTATCTCCACTTACAGATGAGAAGAGTGAGATTTTGGAGACTACAATTTTCTTAGCATCATAGGAGTAATTGTTAAATTCAAATTCATGTCCTGGCCTGCCTGATTCCAAAACCCACACTCTGCATTTAATTCACTACTTCTCTGGGATAGCTCAAAGGGCTTTGCATTAGTATTATGAATCCCAATTCTGCCACTTACTAAGACCTTGATAAAACAGAGCTTCCATTTCCTTATATGTGTGATGGGGGAACAATATCTGCTCCACCTGTCTCACAGAATAGTCGCAAAAGATGAAAGAGTAGATGTGAAGTCTATTTGCAAATTGTTAAGCACTATATAATTGTTGAGATGTTAAAGCAAGCAATCAGAGGAGGAACTGGACTGGATCCCACATTCTACTACCCGTGTGTTGCTATGTTGTCCTTACTTGGTTGCTTTCTATCCTTACTACATATTTACGATGCTATTAACCTTTTAAGTTGTGGAGTTTTAAGAAATAAATATTTCTTGAATATCTGTTTTAAACAAGGGACTATGATAGGTTCTTTCCCCTTAGTGTGTCTCATTCAATTCTCATAACCCTGCAAAGGGGTATTATTCCCATTTTACTTAGTTAAGTTCTAGAAATTCAGTGAAAGCACTAGCCCCTCCAGATGGCAACAAAAGCTGTGAGGCATCTATTGCTAATAGTGTTGGGACTTTGTTACTGTTATTCCTACAGAAAATCTATAAACATAATTAAAAAATACTTTGAAGAGTATGCCTTGATTGATCAAGATATTCTTGAAAATAAAGGAAGCTGGGATAAGATTTTAGCCCTTGTTCCTGAAAATATCCTTTCCCAAGATAATTTCTGTGTGAGCTACTTTTATCAATCTAGGAAATACTGTGTTCTGCCATATTTTCATATACATATAAGGTTAAACTTTTTTTCCACATCTGTATTTCTGCAATACAGTAAGAAATTAGGCCATTTCAGAAATAAATTTCCTCATTTTGGAAGTTGATCCTCCTAGAATTAATCAATGTTTAAAGAATGCTGAATCATGTAGTCATAATCTATACAGGCCAGAGAAAGCTTTTACATTGAGCCATAAAATTATTTTGACATTCTTTCTGTCATATCACAACTATATTTTTACAGGGGAATTTTTAAAGGATATGTGTTTAATATTTGCATTTTAGGAAAGAGTAATTACTTCCTATATAAACTTTAGATACCTTAGTGGTACTACATACCGAAAACAAGTTGTTCATTGATGTGCCCTAAATGAGTGTGTTCCTTAATGGCTCATCACCAGTCCATGATGAACTTCAACACAGTTTCCAAAGGCACCACAATTCACTTCAGCGTTGGGAGCATTTGAAGAAAGTAGCCAGCAGATGTCAGGTATAGTCATTGAAATCTGTATTACAAATATAATAATGCAGTTCTTAAGTCCTGATTGTTTTGCTTAGTAAAAGATGGTTAAAGATCATTTTTAAATTACTTTTAAAGAAATGCTCATAAGTCCTTACTAATCTCATGTTGTACTTACATCTGGTTTTAGAATAACATCAAAAATGACAAATGTGGACCCTGGCTTGAGTGGGAGATTATGCTCCAGTACTGCTTTCCACGGCTGGATATTAATGTTAGTAAAGGAATCAGTCATTTACTGAAGAGCCCTTTTAGTGTTCATCCTAAAACAGGTACTATGTACAGAAGTAAGGAAAACTAAAAGAAAAATGAAAGCTATTTTTTGTTTTAGCAAGCATATCACTTGTGAAGATAAATGATGTCCGAGATATTAAAGGTTGAAGAATTGTCTGTCAGCTAATACCTAAATTAACTTATTTTGTAATTGTTAGTGGCTATCAGATGAGTTTCCACTATGTAAATAATTTTCAGTTAGGTTTTTGAGGTTCAGTGTTACACATGGAGAGGAATTTAGAAATCACAAGACAACAGCTCTCATTTGTACAGATGAGAAAACTGGTCAAAGAAGTTAGTGACTTTTCTACAGTCTTAAATTTTGTCAGCTAGTTCAGTTCTTAAAACTCAAAGTTTTTCCACTGTTTTGTGTCCCTCATTTCTTCTTGTTTTTGTTATCATTAATCTACAATTACATGAAGAACATTATTGTTACTAGGCTCCTCCCTTCACCAAATCCCCCCACAACCCCCATTACAGTCACTGTCCATCAGCGTAGTAAGATGCTGTAGAATCACTACTTGTCTTCTCTGTGTTGTACAGCCCTCCCCATGCCCTCCCCCTATTATACATGCTAATTGTAAGGCCCCCTTTCTTTTTCCCCGTCCTCATCCCTCCCTACCCAACCATCCTCCCCAGTCCCTTTCCCTTTGGTAACTGTTAGTCCATTCTTGAGGTCTGTGATTCTGCTGCTGTTGTTTTTTTTTTGACATGAGATATTCGACGCTTTATTATAAAATAGGCTTTGTATTAGGCTAATAAAAATGTGCTGAGCTATCATAGGCTATACTAAGCTATGATGTTCTGCAAGCTAAGTGCATTAAATGCATTTTTTAAATTCATTTTATTATCATTAATCTACAATTAAATGAAGAACATTATGTTTACTAGACTACCCCCTTCACCAAGTCCCCCCCACAAACCCCATTACAATCACTGTCCATCAGCATAGTAAGATGTTGTAGAATCACTACTTGTCTTCTCTGTGTTGCACCTCCCCCCTTATGCCCCCCCCACATTATACATGCTAATCGTAAGGCCCCCTTTCTTTTTCCCCGCCCTTATCCCTCCCTTCCC